CATTGATATATACCTGGTTGGCTTGGAAATCAATGGTTTGTTTACCTGTCACATGAGATTGATATATACCTGGTTGGCATGGAAATCAATTGTTTGTTTACCTGTCACATGACATTGATATATAACTGGTTGGCATGGAAATCCATGGTTTGTTTACCTGTCACATGACATTAATATATACCTACCGTAGTTGGTGTGGAAACTAGTCTGGTGATTTATCACATGACATTAATATACTGTGTTCACATTGAGCATTCATAACCTTCCTCTTCTTCCCATATCTCCATGCAATTATCAATCCAGATGTCAAATTTATTGTCTTCTGGTATTTTTAAAGTAAGTTGCTTGCATGTTTTGTTGTATAATATTATGCCTGGCTTCCACTACCTACTACAGTTACTGTTTTAAAAGCATCTATGATAAACAATCACTAAGTAGTTAAACTCCTAACATCAGTCCTCATAGTAATCATTCAGTATTTGAATATTTGTTGTTGAGGTAGGTTGTACGTACACCAAAGCACCTGTTTTTTCACACCTGTAACACATTGCAGAATGAATGCACATAGATATGTGTGGACTCAACATCCACATAAATAAGACTGTTAAAATTCAAATATTCCAAATCCAGTATGTCATTTTTGGGAATTCATTATTATTTTTATCATATCTTGTAGCTCATAGATTGTTGAAGAAGCTTGAAGCATGTTTGCATGTATCATACTTTACACAGAGATTACGCAATGCATTACTCATTGAAATAAGTTTTAATTCCTCTGATAGATAATTTAGATAATTTTTAGAATAATAAAAAACACACACCATATTTCTGTGTAATACAGACCACAACAACTTATATAAAAAAAAGCTGAACAATACAAATACATTATCTTGCAGAATATTTTAGTCATAACAGTTTCTGATAACATCATATGTCAACATTATGACAAACTTAGAGTGATTGTATCATAAAATTGAGAAGTAATACTGAAGATGTTCTCTGCGCATGTAGGAACATTGTAACTCAATTGAATATAATAATTCCTCTAGCAACTCATCCATGACTATGCATTATTTATATATCAACTAGTTTCTAATTACGGGTCTAAATAACTGCATTTTAAGCTGCCACCTATATATGTATTTAATAATTACTGTACAGTTCCCTCAACAGACAGCTGAGTGTCTGTGACTAATTAATATTATGTAAGGATTGTGTTACTCTAATTAGGACAAATAAAGTTAAAGGATGGCAGTCGTCGTGTCACGCATGTGCAGCATTTGTATTGATAAACATTGATTTTCCCATAATCCAATGCGTTTTTCTAATGAAAATCACAAGTATGAGCTTTGCTCTGGGCGCCACTTACTAATTACTGCCGACTACTCCTTCGATACCTTCTCAACACTAAAAAAATACCTAACTAAAATGCTAAAGCTTGGTATTCTCTCAGTTTGTACTAGTTGGTGTGCACAACATCGCCATCTTTGTTGATATGAGACCCATATCTCGCGTATGTGTGACACAACAACTACTGCCCTTTAAATGTCTCACACTACAATATTTATAATTTATTTTACTTGTACACATTATGATATTTACATAAATAATTCACTAACAAATGAACTTTCAAATAAAAACGGTTTGTGTTACAAAATACATTTGTCGAGATAAAGCTGAATACATTCACATGAATATAATGTTTGTTTTTTTTCTTGGCACTTTCACTTGTTCTGTTTCTTTTGCTTTACACTTATATTTGCACATTGTCATTTTATCTATTAACAATTTATTTTATGCATGTTCAGGGCCACTTTTCAAATATGGACAATATTGTATTCCCATTTATTTGTGTTTATTTGTAGTTGAATAATGATTCTGTAAAAGCAAGAGATTTATGGGTGACTAGTTTTGTGGTTCTACAAAACATCAACAAGATTGCAATATCATTTACCAGTAAAGAAATAGGTAATTTAGTTTTAATGTTATCTCAATATAACATCTTCTTCCATTATTTGCATAATTATTATTATAAACCATCACAGTCTCAAAATTTTACGGCATTTTCGACGACAGAATTTTGGGAAAGTCACAGGCACTTCATGTTGTAGGACACCACAGCAATTTTCACTGGCACATAATTTTGCGATTCTCACAAAATTCTGAAAAATTTGTTGCTTTCATTATTTGCATAATTAATACTGTTATCCGTCACAGTCTCAGGATTTTACGACATTTGTGACGACAGAATTTTGGGAAAGTCACAGGCACTTCATGTTGTAGGACACCAGAACAATTTTCCCTGGCACATAATTTTGCGATTTTCACAAAATTCTGAAAATTTGTTGCTTGCAACATTGAAACAATTCATAGTGATTCTCTGATTTCTATTCAAAGAAACAATGTAGGGAACTTTGTATGCTATATGTCTAGCAATGAAAAAAAATAGAACTTAGAGATCTGTAAAAACCATATTTGCATTCGTTCAAAATGTATTTGGGGTAAACTAATCACCAATATTGAATGCATTCCATGTTATTCATGTCATGTTTGAGCACTTTCATATGTTTACAATTTGAATGCTAAAAGATGTACAAAATGATTTTCATTGCCATTTTGGGTCCGTGTCTCTACATACATGAAAAAGCAGTAAACAATTACATCAGCCTGTGCTATGCATCTACCAATATAATCATGGTACTGCCTTTATACGTACTTTGCAGTATTCTCATAAACTCATCATATTTCAGGCAGGTTTGAACATATTTATTTGATAATGCAACTTAGTAAAACAATATTATGGTATGAATAATTGTAAAATAAAAAACCAAAATGTTTTGATTGCATACAGTATTCCTGTTGGCTAAATCATTATCTCCTTGTCTATTCTTTTATACTTTTTTTATTTTCTCTAATCTTTACCCAATATCCATCAACAATGATGACATGCTTACGTTATATTTATTCATTACAGCCATTTATGATTTGAGTTCCAAGCTTGAGTTCAATTGTCAGTATAAAGTCTATGGATTAGAGTCCACACCACTATGTATGGACTACTGGTAAGTACCATGTATAAAGTAAAAGACATCATTACTATTATTATACATCTGTTACGTAACGCCATAGGTTACAGCGTGCCGTAATTTTGCGGTATTTTACGGGGCATTTTCATCCTACCATATTAGGAAATGCGAATTCCAAATATGGAATTATTACGCACGTGAGCGTCCTCTAATAATAAAAACAAACATGGCTGCCACCAGAATTTAACCCGACTCCATACAAATAAGTTTGCTGATTCTATTCTAAACTTTTTAGATTTCGGCATTCCCATGATGTATCCTTGGTAGGAAAACATGTATAATAATAAGGTTATTACG